GGCCGCTGTCCGCAGTCAAGGTGATCCCTGAGGGTATCTGAGCCTTGAGCGCTGCTGGCAGCATCACTACAGCTGGGAGACCTTCGTTCCTGCCTGAGTTTCTGGTCAGCACATCCAGACACACATCACAGGGACGCAGACCCATGCAGGGCCCCAGATGTCCTTGTCAAAGTAAGTATGTGTCAATGTGGGGGATGACACGAAGGCAAAATGAAGGGGCTGCATACATGTTTACAGATTCATCTTGTTGCAACGACTGAAGTGTAATATCCCAAGGACACGGGCACAAGACTGGAATTTGGGTTTTCTCACTCTTAATACGACAGAGCCTTCTTACACAATTGGTTTAAGTGATCAAGAGAGGTTTTCCTTTATTTTTAATCTGCCTAGAAAAACCAAGTGTCTGTGTCTTGTCTTTGTTAGCTCTGTGATTCCTTAGGAAAGTTGATTCTGCTCAGTGGTAAGAGGGCTGAGGTTTCTCAACAACTCCATAACCCTCTGCATTTACCTGAGAATCTCTTGTGCCACCTTGGCTAAATAAGTACCCTGTTTTGTAATGATCTGTAATCCTATCTCGGCATGTGTTTTGAAATCTTCTGATATCTCACAAACTTCCAAAAATCCAGCATGTGAATGGAAGTCTCTTTGACTAATGAGGTTTGTTCCTTGGTGTGTCAAACGACATGGGAAGCGTTGTCACAGACAGGATGATCATCCCTCTACGGCTCTGAGCGTGGGGGACTGCTCTCAGTGTCCTAGACATTCTGTATGATCCTGGAGGTGCTGAGATGTCTTGGTGCAACGTCATCACCTGTCATCCTAGTTACTCAAGTCTCGAGGGTCACAGCATCTCCTTGCCGGCTGCCCTGTACTGACACAGACAGTGTCTGATCCCTTTAAGATCATGAAGCCAAACACAGTCAGAATTTCCAGAACGAATGGGGAAACGGCTTTCAAACAGACTCTTGTCCGAACCATTGCTGCTTATCTCATGGTTGCTCCTCTAAATTTAAGTCTACCGAGGACTCACAGAAATTGGGTCAAGAAAATCTTCCTCAACAGATATGAAACATTTCTCTCCTTCTCCCTACCTGGTGCTCCTGGGAGTAGAAACTCTCAGAGAGCATTATTTTCTTTCTACCACAGTGTCTTTATTTGCAAACGTTGGATACAAATCTGTGCTCCTCGTAACAGGACACAACTGGAAACACTGGTCGTGTTGCCAAGGCTGTGACGGGAACGGCATGGTTAAGGGAACTACGCCCAGACTCAGCTGGGCTTGGGCAGCTTTCAGGAACGAATTCAGGTTGAGCTTACAGAGCCAAAGAAGCCCCTTGGAAAAGTCACCTGGTACCACGCTGACAAAGTTTCCAGCAGCCCTAGCAGGTGGACAAGGGAGGTCGTCCCTTCCTGGCAGGTGCAGGGAGCTCAGGGTATGTGGGGGATCTTGAGAAGAGGGGACACTAGCCCAATCTACAGGTGTGGCAGGCAAAGGCTGACAGCAAGTGTTGGCTTGGGGTCTTGAGCCTGACGAGGCTGGTAAAAGTTCGATCTGACATTCCTTACGAAAAGTTCCAGCAAAGCAGATTAAAAACACCAAAAACCTGTATGACCAATCCCCATTCCGACGGCACTTGTGTAAGTGCCTATTTTATGAACAAATGTGTCTTAATTTGGCTATATTTGCCAGAAACGAGGGTGGTTTTAGACAGGGAAATTGTTTCAGTAACACCCCTTGGTAAGCATTAGATCCCAGTTCTGATGAACCCTCTCTGGATGTTTTTTGGTTGTCTATACCACCAGGCTGAGTCCTGAATTCTTTTAACCAGGTTCCGGAATACTAGACCCTGACTCTCCAAACCACGGTTTCCAGTGTTCTCCCGTTGTCTGGACTGGAAGCACTGAGAACTAAAAGGGCTTTTTCCTGAACCCCTGCAAACCGAAGCCAGACACGCCAAGGTCAGCCTGAGACAAACGTCGCCTGTGCTGTCAGGGCCGCTCGCAAAGATCACCAGAGACAGATAACTAAATGAACTGATCGCAGCCATCCCGCCCGCACGGCCTGCCCCCAGAGAAGCCAGACTTTGAAGTGTTCGGGGACAAGGACAGTATCACAGGTAGAAGACAAGGAAGAGCCGCGTGCAGTGGCGGCCCGTCGGCTATCGTCCACTGCTGAGGACGCCAGAAACTGGACCAACTGCCCAAGGGAAGAACCATGCTGGCAGCCCGTACAGAGCCTCCAGATCCCTCTCCAAGAGCCTTAGTGCCAAGCAGAGACTGAGCTACACGTCGACCCCAGCAGTCCTTGGTGGAGCAGTGAGGACCTAAGTAAGTAGTAGGGATTTGACACCATGATGCCGGCATTGATCTTGGCTGGCAACATAATGAATACTTATGCTAGAGCCTCCAGTGAAAGAAGTAACTCGCCATATCCGTCACAGCACCCATTACAGGAAAGACCCACACTTCAGTGGACCCAGAAGTAAGTATATTGCAGGCTCTGATTTTCAAAGAAATGCTTAAAACATGTGACACTTGGGCTACAAACTATCCTAAGACTGGGCCCCCACCTGTTCTCAAAGGTATACAAGGTAGAGGCGGCGATCCTGGGACAGACCGGAAGGCAGCCTTTCCCAGAGTGCAAAGGACAACAGGGAATTCTCAGGGTTTGCTTCGATGTGCAGACACCTTTACAAACAGGGTGGAAGCTTGTCCATGCCGTTCAGAGAAGCCTCAGAAGCCATCAACACGCTTTTAAGCAGGATCGTTCCTAGGTTTGGACTTTTAAGCAGGATCGTTCCTAGGTTTGGACTGTCACTAAGAATGCAGAGTGACAGTGGAGTGAAAACCATAGTGTCCGATGCCTTGGGCATCCGATGGAAATCACAGGCTGCCTGCAGAAACTATGTGACTAGAAAAAGAGAAAAAAATGATCTATGGCAAAGCTGTGCCGAGAAACCCACATAACTTGGAAAGAGCCCGTGCCACCAGCCCTGCTGTGGGTAAGAGTGGTGCCTAGGAGTGGGCTTGGTTTACACCCCTGTGACATGTTCTGTGGAAGATTTTCTATGTGCTTTTCATGACTTAGGAGTTTCTGGCAGGGTTCCCATCAGGGAACTGGATACTGTCAGGTACATCCAGGAGCCGAGTTGGCTCCCAGCAGGTTGGTGTGCCCCATAGATGTGTCTTCACAGTGCCTGCTTCCTTTAGTGACATCAAAAGCTGTCACTGAAGATGTCACTAAAGACCTGAAGAGCGGGAGCCCAGAGGAGCAGCTCAGCCTCATTGGACAGGTCAGACCCTGCTGACCCCTCCATTTCTTAGAAATCATAGGGAATTGAGCTGTGGATTCTTTATTCTTGAATGACAAGGATCCACAGGGTCCCTACATCCTGTCAGCTGGGAGAAGGTTTAAAAGGATCTGGCTCAGGCCAGTGAGCCTCTGCCGGACCTGAAACCATGACTCAGGGGAACGGTTCCAAGGGAATCAGGCCATGAGAACAACATGCCACTTGGTCCCCACAACCCTCCCCTCAAAGCCTAGACACAACATCGTACAAGAACTATTGACCAAAGTACAAAAATCCCAGGAATGCAGAACACTGGCTTTCACCCGGAAGTTCCCATTTCTCTAAACCCGGTCTTGGCCCCACCTCAGCAGGAAGTGACTGGAGGGGTCATGGTCCCAATACCCACAAGCGTGAGGACTGATCCAGGGACCAGGGGATGGAGACCCATAACCAAAGGGTTACCAGCTGCACCTTTGTACCCAGACCTTTTCCCTTTGCCACTAAGCACCCCTGACTGTCCTCCTCTAGGGGGTGGAGGTGAGGCTGCGCATCAGGCAGATGAACTTGGCTTTGCTGACACATATGGTAGGCACTCGGTAAAGACCGCTGAACCCACGTGAACTCTGACGCTGGGAGAGTTCAGTATCTGGTCCGTGGTGACCAGGATAGGATGAGGAGAAGGATTTGAATTCAACACTGTCTGACCCCAGGGCCTCTACTCCCACGCACGGTGCTGAGAAACCTCTACTCTGATCCCAAGGCCACCCGCTCAGCCCTCGGCACAGCATCTCCGCAGCCCCGGACCCCTCCCTGCTTTGGAGCCAGCTCCCATTCCGACCTGGAGGGGACAGACAGCTCAGCCCTGTTTCCCCAGCTCCACAAACATACCATCCTCATCGGGCGAAGGCACAGTGCACCCTGTGAGGAGGCTCACGGCCACTTTTCTCTGCCCGTCCTGCTCCCCAGCTCCCAAGGGATCATGTGAATAGCTGCTCGGGTCTCCTGCCATGGCTTACTTATGCAAACATGATAAGCAAGAAACACCGTTCTTCTATGTAGCTCCGCTAACCCCAAATGGAACGTGAGACAGATGCTCTCCTGCACCTTGCTTTACTCAGGACACACCTGAGCATACCTGGGCCCTTCCCCGTCAGCCGATGCAGGGCGCCCTCCCTGTGCCCTCACAGCTGCACAGAATCTGAGGGGCCTTGGCTCCTCCTGCAGCTCCTGGCCTGGGCCATTCTCCGTCTCTCAGTGCATCTCCTCTGTCCTGTCAGGCCTGGGGGCCACCTGGCCCAACCCATCCGTAGCCACCGAGGACACTGTTTCATTCCCTCACCCTGAGTGTGCCTCTGCTTCCTGCTGGGACCCCGCCTGACTCTGGGTCGTTTGTCCCAGCCCCCCACTGCTCCCTCTTCTGCCTCCCTGGCTTGGGACCACCACGCATGTCTCCTGGGCTAAGCACAAGCCGAGTGCACGGTACACAATAGGGCCTCGCCACGCTGATTCCGGCAGCCTCCCCAGGATGCGGCCTCCCTGCCATCCATCCACACCTCTCTGGCCGTAGGCTGCCTAGCGGACCTGCCATCTGCATGCGTGAAACTCCCAGCTCCGGGCCCAGGATGCTCAACTTGTGTCCCCAGCACGGTCGTGGAGCGATTTCAGACACAGGAAATCCCCTGCCAATGGGCCTGGGTGTCCCTGTGGTCCTTAAATCCCCTCCATGCTCCTCCTCTCCTCCCCCATCGTCATCACCAGCCCATGTCTCCCATCGCTCGTGGCCGTCTTGATCCCCCAACTCAAGCCTTGACATCTGCCTGGCCCCAGGCCCTGGGCTGAGGCAGGAGCACCCTGGGGTTCTGGTACCTGGGAGCCCCTCTCCTTAATCCAGTCAGTACCTCCAGCTGTAACCCCACTCCATGCCGACCCTGCACCCACCACTGGTGGGGGTGAGGAGAGGCAGGGGTCTCAACTGCAGGCATTGTGTGCTCCATGGGCCATGGAGACACACCACATCAATCAGGGCTGCTCAGAGCCCGCCCCTCCACCCAACAGCCCAGAGACCTGCCCCATCTGCCCCAGTCTGGCCCCCGGGACTGTCTGACCTGAGATGCTTCTGGTCCTAGACATGTGACAGCTGAGGTAAACCGGACACCGACATCGCCCTTGAGGGGCTGGAACCACCACCAGGTCGGTGACCCACGAAGGTCACTCTGGAACCAAGTGAGCCTGCACAGTAAGTCCGTGCTCTTGCCCCAGGACACCAAGCCAGCTCACGGCAGGGCCACAGTCCTCGGGTGGCAGGCTAGGGCCTGGAGTTGCAAGGCAGCAGGGCTCCGTCCCAGGGAGACCTCGTCAGAGATATCAAAGTGCATGGTTTCACCGAAGCCACATGCTCCCAGGACCCAGACGCACAAACAGAGGTCATGACACATGTACCTGACACTCGGGGAGCTCTCCCCTTCGGACCTGCAACGAGAGAGAACACGTGCTTAGGAGGCAAGTAGCTTCCACTACGGGAGAGCCACGGGAGGACATGAGCTGGGGGGACCCGTGAGGTCCCCAGCTACCCTGGGATCCCTTCTCCAGCCTCAGCGGACTGTCCCCAGGCCCAGCCCCCAAGGTGTCACACTGCTGGTCTTTTGACCTGGAATTCCACCTTGAAAGCCACCTCCTCCCAGAAGCTCTAGGATGGTTCCCGGAGCCCTCTGGTGCACATCCCCTTGACTGTAGTTGTTTTCCCAGGATCTGAGCATCCCTGAAGTTGGGGAGCAACCCCAGAGGGGGGCCTGTGGCTCCAGAACTCTGTGCCCTGGGCCCTGGGGGCAGCACTCGAAGGAATAAGTGTGTGGGAAGGTGTAGCTGGCTACCTGCACCCTCTTCTTGGTATTTCCAGAATCTCTCCCCGCGACCGGCTCCGTTTTCAAGTACCCAGACATCAGTGTCACCACTTGACAAAGGAGACAAGCCTGAATGTCAAGAAACTGGACAATTAGGTCCTATTGCGTATCCTTGAACTTTCACAGAGACTATGAAACACACGGCAGCTACTGACAGTGATGCCTTCCTGCTCTGCAAATTAAAGGAAAGGGACTTGGGGATTCAAATGCATGCAGCTTAAAGCCATGGCTGGCTCCTTGAGTCTGAAGGGAATAATCTCTGGACATCCCCAGCTGGACGTTATTGCCAGCGAGCTACAGCAGCAAAAATACACTTAACTCAAAGTCTTTTTTCTTTCTTTCTTCCTTCCTTTTTTGCATCTTGGCTTTCTCAGTAATTTTGCAATCTATCTACATGGCCCCATGAGCACTCAAACCCAGGGGACAGCTTCTCCCACTGAATCACCCTCGCTGGTCACAGGAGAGCACCCCAAGCCCTCTCCTAGGTCTGCTGTGACAATGGCAGATTGTACCCAGGTTGTCTTTGAAGCTAATTGACAGCCCAGCCCAGGAAAGTTTCTCCAGGATGCCCTAAAGCATCTTCAACACCAACTGTCCGATGTCTAGAAGGCTCCAGCTGTCCCCAGCTCTCAGGGCAGCTATACAACACATGCCAGGGCCACAGGCTACTTCCGGGTTCAGCCAGTGCAAAACTGGACATAAAGGTCAGTGATGATGATGACAGATGCCCCTCACTCACCTTACTAGGTGCCTGCCCCAGATCTGGGCCTTGACACACACTCTGGATGATTTTCACAGCGACCTGGCAGGCCCAGCACGGTCCTCACTGTGCACAAGTGGGCCCGAGGCTCCCGGAGGCTGTGTGAGCTCAAGGCCACGTGACCAGCCAGCATTGAGGTGCTGTCCTGCTGCACCTCGGTAGCCAGAGAGCAAACCAGACCCCATCTAGTCAGGATGGAGGTCACCTGGGCGAGTGATGGAAGGGGACCCTGGGTACTTGCAGGTGCTGCTCACCTTTGGCTCCTGATCTGGGTCCTGGTTACCCAGGTGCAAAAGCAAGATCGACCCAAAAGAGAGATTTGGCCATTCAGATTCCAAAACATATTCCTCATATCCATTTGGTCTTTGTCCACAGTTCCTGGCTCACAGCACCCCAAAGCCTGGGGATTTTCTGAGCAAGGAGAGCCATGGGGACATCTTTTGTTATCATATTTGGTCACTTGCCCCTAGCTCCTGAAATCACTGCAGAGCCATGAGGTGACACGCTGTCCCACCACACCTGGGTTCTTGTCAGTAGGTGATGTTTGGAAAGCACCTAAGGATAGAAACTTACAGTCCCACCCCCTGAAATCAATCCCCAACAGCCAATGATTTGATCCATCGGGTCTATGGAATGAATCCTTGGTAAAAAAAAAAAAAAAAAAAAAAAAAAAAAAAAAAAAAACCTGAAAGG